CCGGGTTCATCCCGAGGCGTTGGCGGGCGGTTTTCCCTCTGCTGGTGCCGGGTTTAAACCTTACCCAGAACGACCTCACCGAAGGGAAACGTTAATTCCTAATTATTTTAAATTATTTCCTGTTCAGATTCTTGGAGAGAACTGAAACGTGGCCCGGCCAAAAAACACGGATCCCCCACCGTTTCAGAGCCTTGTTGGTGTGGAGTGGTTCCTTCACTTTAATTCCTGTATTGGTGGTGTGGTTTCCTTGTTTTATTCCTGTTTCTGTGGAGTGGTTCCTTTGCTTTTATTCCTGTTTATGTGGAGAGATTTCCTTGTTTTATTCCTGTTTATTTGGTGTGGTTTCTTGTTTTATTCCTGTTTATTTGGTGTGGTTCCTTCACTTTTATTCCTGTTTATGTGAAGTGATTTCTTTGTTTTATTCCTGTTTATTTGGTGTGGTTTCCTTGTTTTATTCCTGTTTATTTGCTGTGGTTTCTTCACTTTTATTCCTGTTTCTGTGGAGTGGTTTCCTTGTTTTATTCCCATTTCTGTGGAATGGGTTCCTTGTTTTATTCCTGTTCATCTGGTGTGGTTTCTTCACTTTTATTACTGTTTATGTGGAGTGATTTCCTTGTTTTATTCCTGTTTATTTGGTGTGGTTTCTTGTTTTACTCCTGTTTATTTGGTGTGGTTTCTTCACTTTTATTCCTGTTTATGTGGAGCGGTTTCCTTGTTTTATTCCCATTTCTGTGGAATGGGTTCCTTGTTTTATTCCTGTTTATTTGGTGTGGTTTCTTCACTTTTATTCCCGTTTCTGTGAAGTGGTTTCCTTGTTTTATTCCTGTTTATGTGGAGCGGTTTCCATGTTTTATTCCTGTTTATTTGCTGTGGTTTCCTTGTTTTATTCCTGTTTATGCGTTGTGGTTCCTTCACTTTAATTCCTGTTTCTGTGGAGTGGTTTCCTTGTTTTATTCCTCTTTATGTGTTGTGGTTCCTTCACTTTAATTCCTGTTTCTGTGGAGAGGTTTCCTTGTTTTATTCCTGTTTATGTGTTGTGGTTTCTTCACTTTTATGCCTGTTTCTGTGGAGTGGTTTCCTTGTTTTATTCCCATTTCTGTGGAATGGGTTCCTTGTTTTATTCCTGTTTATTTGGTGTGGTTTCCTTGTTTTATTCCTGTTTTTGTGGAATAGTTTCCTTGTTTTATTCCTGTTTATCTGGTGTGGTTCCTTCACTTTAATTCCTATTTCTGTGGAGTGGTTTCCTTGTTTTATTCCTGTTTTTGTGGTGTGGTTCCTTCACTTTTATTCCTGTATTTGTGGTGTGGTTTCCTTGTTTTATTCCTGTTTATATGTTGTGGTTTCTTCA